TAAAGATAAATTATCTCATTAGCTTTGGCTCGTCTCTTTGGCCTAGGTTCTGCTTGAATGTATTTCACAGAACATCACCCTAGATCAGTGGTCGGCAAACTCATTAGTCAACAGAGCCAAATATCAACAGTACAACGATTGAAATTTCTTTTGAGAGCCAAATTTTTTAAACTTAAACTATATAGGTAGGTACATTGTTATTAACTTAATTAGGGTACTCCTAAGGCTTAGGAAGAGCCACACTAAGGGGGCCAAAGAGCCGCATGTGGCTCGAGAGCCGCAGTTTGCCGTGTCGACCCCTTACAACTCTCCTATCCATACTCGTCTTGTATACTTGTTTCGTCTATCTTTTGTCACCCACGCGTGATTTGTGGACGCAACTAGCACTAACCACTGTACAATGAGACTGCTGACTGACTGGCTCACTCAACTCATGCATGAATCGCGCAGCGCCGCGCTGCGCCGCGTCTCCTGTCGCCCAACCGACCGACACCCCCCACTTCTAACTCCACTTCTTCAAAATAGATTCGCCCAGGCTGGAAACCGACTTCTGCGCATGGGCCACAAAGTTTCAATCGCACTGTACGTGCGCGCCTGCACGTGGTATTTTGTGGAAGAGCCACACTCAAGGGGCCAAAGAGCCGCATGTGGCTCACGAGCCGCGGTTTGCCGACCACTGCTCTAGATGACTCTTTCCTCTATGTGGGGTTTTGAAAGTGACAGTGAGCAACATCTCTCTTTTTGTTTCCTCCATTGCCAAAAGAGTTGATAACAAACTGGGAGCATGAGATTATGATAAAAGTAGAGACTATAAGACAGGTGATCCATTTCCAATGGGTTCTGTGGTCATCCTGCTTACTTATTCACATAGTACCATTAGGATGCCAGCGAAGAAATGGGGCCCCAAGTCTAGGACAGCCTTCCATCTGTCACTGAATTAATAAACCAATCACATACTGGTCAGAGTTCATCAAGCTGCAGGAGTAAGCTAGCACCCCTCTGAGAAGCTTAGGACAGGTCTAATATCAGAGTCCCAGGCAGGACAGAAGATACCTTTGGCCTACTGTACACCCACCATCACTGAAAGTGAAAGGGGCAAGGAATATACCAAAAACTACAAACAACCCCGGGGGTTTAGGACCCCCCTTTTTACCTACCCTGATTTCTACATGACCAGTGGTTCCTCAGGCCACCAAGTTGTGCCATATTAACCGATTTCCTTTTTTCCAAGGAGACTTTGAGTCACTGTCAGCTCCCTGGCTAGCCTTTCTCCTACACACCTGTCCCCAGCCCAAGTCAATAAGGTCTAGTAATATACATCCCCAACAGGGAGGAGGGGCAAAGACACTAGGACCCAGGACCCTCCCCATCATCAGTCAGCTCCCACTAGAATGAGGAACTGGGTGACAGTCTTCAACTCCCCACGCTGCTCGGGGAACAGAAGCCAGAGCCTGAAAAGGACCATGTCCAGGGACTTGCTGTAGGGCCCAAACACAGAACCCTGTGGTGCCTGCCCCTCTTCTTTATCTGGTCTTAGACTCTTTAGGAAGTTGGCTGGCCATTATTCCTGAGGGAATGGCCAGCCTCAAAGGCAGAAGTACAGAAGGGTATATTGGGGGCTGCAATAAAAGACTAAACTGTCCACGAGGTATTGTGGACAAAACTACCTTGAAGGTAGTTTTTTGGCACTAGCGGACTTCAAGCAGATACAGGACAATGACCTGTAGGATTTTGGGTGGAAAGGATGTTCTGATGGGACAGCAGTTGGTCTGATTCTCCCCATTTTAATTCTTCGGTTTTCATTTTCCAGATAATTAGTTCATCTAGTTACAACCTCTATAGCCCTCCCCCACCCCCAACCCCATACACACACACACACACACACACACACAAAGCAGAAGTGGGCCTCGCTTTATGCAACATACGTGTTCTGTAGAGAAAATGCTAGGGTCAGATCACATTAACATTGTCATAGCAGAGCATGGCTTCCATTGATTTGGTGAATGCGCAACACCACAGCAAGTGCATTGAACAGGGGACTTTCTGACACATTCGGTAATCTGTAAACAAACACTTGAATGCAACAGGAGAGCTGCCATTTAGAGGAACCCTGAGAGTATTCTGGTAATGCAAACAGTCACCCCTAACTAACTGTTTTGTAAATGTGGATTTGGGGGTTGCCCAAAGGGACGCAGCCATTATAGGGCACAAAATGAGGGTGCAGTGTTAAAATCTAGGGCACAGGCCCTGGGGACAGAGGACACTCGGTTCTCTGAAAATGAGGTTTTGGTTTGGAAGCCTGTGCAGCCACAGACAGACACACCTGAGACTTGGTCCATGTCCTGTTCCTCCAAAGAGCCCTGCTCCATGTTCTCATTTCTCCCAACAGGCATTTTTTCATCTGATTTATAGGCAGAAGTAAAGGGCAAGTAGCTCAATCAAGGTCACAGGCAGGTACAGCTGAGACCAGAAGCCAAGTCTTCCTCTACTTTCCCCATCAGCTCCCTGTTGCCCACTGTAACCCAGACCCCCGCCTTTCCAGGGCTCCGCATTCCCTTTTCAAGGTTCCCAGGAGTTCTGCCAGGCCTGGGAGCATCCTGTCCTCTGGCTACATCCCCAACTCAGCTTTGAGGAGGAACTGGAGTCCCAATCTCCAGGACCTAGCCTTTCCAGCAGCCTGCACTCCCTACAGACCCTGCGCTAAGGCAAGCAAGGTTGAGGAGTTAAGGCTGACCAGAACCCCTTGAGAGCTGGTTGAGGTCCTGACTCAAGAGGAGATCAGGTCTCGTTACGTCCCCAAAGTGCCCCAGGCAAGAGCATTCCCCACTCACGAAGGCTCTTCTCAGTGCTTCCCTTACCCAATGCACCAACTCAGAGTGGGTCTGGGGCAGGGTCTGAGCATCACAGAAGGGACTAAGCTAGGCAAGGCTGGAGCTGATGTGATGGCAGCCACTAGGGCAGGTGAGGCTCAAAAGTTGAGACTGAGCAGGGCCTCAGAGAGCTGGTTGATGTCGCGGCAGTAAGGCTCCCGCTGCAGGATGAAGTCCACCTTGTGATCCTGGCCCCAAAACACCTCTAGCAACTGGCGCCGGAGCCTCTCAGTCTCCCGGGTCTTCCGAATGCCACCACTGCCTTTTTCCTCCTCTTCTCTCCCCTGCTGCTGCTGACTGTGTTCTGTGAGGCCCCTGGAAGGATGCTGAGCCTTAGAAGATTCCTGTGCCCTAGGAAGAAGCAGAGGGAATAGAAGAGCTGATGTGCATCCTGGAGAGAAGTTAGAGGCTCAGTGGGCCTCCCAGCACTCCACTGCTGTTAACTGCCCTGCCTATTCCTGGCTCTGAAGTTCCCTAAACTGACCACTGAGCGGCAGTATCAACCCACTTCTGAAGGGGAGACAGATCGTTCCTTTGAAACCAGGAAGGTGAACCTTGCCATTACTAAAAATCTAGCCTAATAAATTAATCACTTACTTAGTGGTCCAGCAGAGGGCGTGCTGAATACAAGTGGCCATAAGTAAAATCAACCACGTTCCAAATAACTCCAGCAAACTAACTAGAGAAAACAGGAAGCAGCAGCTTCCCTCCCAGCCTGCCGAGTCTGTGTCAGGACTTCCAGGGAAGCAGTTAAAGGCAAATTAAGCTGGTCCACACTGAGGTCACACTTCCTCCAAGTCTCCAGGCCTGCAAGGCCCCTGCAGAAAGGGGGCCAGGGCCAGGCTGCCTATGAGAGTCTGAAGCGTTACCTGACTGGCTTCTTCAGGAACATCCAGGCCTGCAAGGCCCCTGCAGAAAGGGGGCCAGGCTGCCTATGAGAGTCTGAAGCAAGAGTCTGAAGCGTTACCTGACTGGCTTCTTCAGGAACTCATCCAGCATGGGGCCATTTCGCCCCAGTGGGTCATCAGGGACCATGAAGAGGTTTCCCACGAAGGTGAAGGGCAGCAGGCTGGATGGGAACAGAAATGTAATGGTCACAGAGGGACCCCTGCTCACCTCCCAAACAGCTGAGACCAACTCCACCAGAAGCTGTCAGCCATTATCCGTCAAGCCCGTGTCAAGCCCGTTCCCAGAGTCCTCACCCGGTGGCAGAGAAGCACTGGTTTTAGAGAAAGGTCTGAGTCGGAGCCCTTTTCTCAGGGGATGCCCCCTCACCGCTCTCTGATGATTGCCATCCACTTCTCAGACTCCTCCGCCAGGTCCCGGAACTGGTCGTTGGAGACAATGATCCCGTCGGTCTCTTCAGCCAGCTTCACCATGAACCTGTCTCAAAAACCACAGCAGCATTCTGGACTTCTCTAAAGCCTCAACCCCAAAGAGCACTATCAACTCCCATGACCCACTTCTGGTGATGGAGATCTGTCCCACCACCACCCCCATTTTGACCCAGCCACCAAGGAACCGACTGGATACATAGGTTAGAGAGAAAACAAAGACCAATCCAACGTGGAATCCCAAGAACGTCCCCTCCACTCACCACAACCCTCTACCTAATACTTTGTGCTTTGTTAATAAGACAGTAAGATCTAGCCCTGGTCCTTTCTTCCACCCTACAGTCACAAATCTATCAACAATCAGTCACAAATCCATCCTGTTTTTCCTCTTAAAAGCCTTCCATTCTGTCCCCTTCCTTTCCAGTCCCACCATTACAACCTTAGCTATTCAGACACTGCAACTGAGATACTGATTAAGGGGTCCCCTGACATTTACCACCCTGTGGTCTCTCCTGCCCTCCCCCAAGAGAACATGTTCTTCAGCTACACAAAACTCTTCCATACCTTTCCATTATCTACTGCATGAAGTCCACAAGCCCAGGCCTGGCAGCTAAACCCCTGTAGAACCCAGATGCAGCCACTTTCATGGCCTTCTCTCTCCCAGTATTCCCAAAGGTACTCTCAACTTCAGCCAAAATCAATGATTGGATTACATCTCTTCTTCAAACATACTCTCTGACTTCTATGTTTCTCAAATTATTCCCTCCATTCAGGAAGGTGATCCCAAACCTCACTGATGAACAAAATCACAAGAATAACTTTTTAAAAGAGATGCCTGCCCTAGCCAGTTTGGTTCAGTAGATAGAGCATTGGCCTGCAGACCAAAGGATTCTAGATTCAATTCCAGTCAAGGGCTTGTACCTTGGTTGCAAGCTCCTCCCCGGCCCTGGTCAGGGCTTGTGCAGGAAGCAACCAATCGATGTGTTTCTCTCACATCGATGTTTCTGCTTTCCTTCTCTCTTCTACTCTCCCTAAAATTCATGGAAAAATATCCTCGGGTGAGGATTAACAAAAAATAATAATAATAAATTTTAAAATAATAAATAAAAGGAGATGCCTGGATCCCACTAGAGTAATCCTAATTCCATAGAACTGGGCAGTGTGGGGAAACTCACAAAGGGGTAGGCTGGGATCTTTTTGAACAGGTTTAGAAAACAAGAGATCCAGTCATCTCATATTCTTCTCTATCATCGAAAAATACAAATCTCTCCCTTCTCACAAAACCCCAGCCAGAAGCGGGCTCCCTTTCCTCCAGGTTCCTGAAGTGTTTGATTTATAGTTTCTTTTGGCTCTTCAAAATCAAATTCCCAGCATTCCCAACTCCTTCTGCAAGCCACACACCTAGCAGTAAGTGGGCAGTCAGTATTTGAAAGACTGTGGTACAGAGGGACTACTAATCAGGATAGGGTGTGCCAGATGTCTGGTTCTGAGTTTCTGTCTGGGAAACAAATTAAGGAGATGACATTCAATTGTATACAGTGTCATATAATATACAAAAAGGTATTTTCAGGCTATTATCATTATGTAACATGATACCATTATCATGTTACATCACATGTTGTTCATCAGTATTCACCCAGTTGGCCTATGCACCACTGTGAAGTCACTGTAACGAGGCAAAACTCCAAATTCATATTGTGCTGTCAGCTTGTCAGGACCTACACAACTGTACAAACATGTGCCTTTAAAATTCACAACAACTGACTTGACCTTCAGTTTCAGTTCTGTGTCAATGCTGGTATGAAAAGAAGGTTCCATATCTTAGATAATCTGTGAAATCTAGACATAAAAAAAGAGTATCAGGAGACAGTGAATTGCCTTTTTGTAGAATACCATTTACTTGTCAGGGAGAAAAAGTTAAGTACTTGAAAAGATAAAATATGTAATCATTATGGTTTGGAAACTAGTAGTTTGTTTTTGTTTTGTTTTTTTTTTTCATTTAAAACTTTAAATCCTGGAGAATCAAGAACTGTAGTTGCAAACATTTTTAATTGGATTAATTAGCTTTTCAAATCTGCCCATTTCCCACACGGTGTATGTACACTGAGGATGAAATGTGTCCCGTGTTTTTCATTTAAACCATCTGGCAGCTTTCAATTCTTATTTTTCCTTTGCCACTTAGTAGGTTTTGCCAAGAGAGTTAACCACTCTTAGCCTCTGCTCCATTTCGGTACTGTAGAGATAAGACCTTCTGCCACACTTGATTGTGTTCATGAACAGTTCAGGAATATCACTGTATTCTTGCCTAGCACCTTGAGTGAGAAAAGCACATAACTTATCTTCTTTTGACAGTCACAAGGAGCGTGAATGAATGGAAGAGGACCCTGAGACAAGAGGTTAATTCACTAAGAGACTTGTCCACAGTCAGAGTCAATGAGTAGTACAACTTGAGGCTCCAAGTCAGATCATCCAATTCTAGGTTAAGTGATCTTTCTTTCTTTTTTTTTTTTTTTAATATATTTTATTGATTTTTTACAGAGAGGAAGGGAGAGGGATAGAGAGTTAGAAACATCGATGAGAGAGAAGTATCGATCAGCTGCCTCCTGCACACCCCTCACTGGTTTGTGCCCACAACCAAGGTACATGCCCTTGACCAGAATCGAACCTGGGACCTTTCAGTCCGCAGGCCGACGCTCTATCCACTGAGCCAAACCGGTTACGGCGGTCAAGTGATCTTTCTATGATACCATGTTTTATTTATGTTTTGTTTTATGTTAGTATGCATGGATTGTGTTTCTTCATTTGACTTTTTATTTTGAACATTTACTCTGGTTTTTCCAGAATGTTGGGGGAATTTCTCTAAGTGTTTGCAAATTTAGGATGTAAGAACATATTTGTCAGCTATTTATGTCATAAGCTTTCACATCTTTCCATTAAACCAGTATTTCCTAGACAGTAGGCACTATATAAATACAAAGCATTGTTTAGTTTGATGAATGAAAAATGAATGAGCAAACACAGTTGTCTACCATCCATTTCATCTCACCTGTGGGGCAGGTTTTCCTGCCCAGTCATGGAGACACATGAAGAAATAACTGGCCCTGTACCCAATACCCAGGCTTAGAAACAGTGCAAAGGGTCAGGAGCTTCTGACTCTCCCCTGATCTCCCACTGGGCTCCTTGAATGTCAAGGCTGGGGCCAGGAGAGAAGCAAGTACCTGTCATCATAGGAAGAGATCCTCTTGCCATCCATGACTCGGGAAGGAGTGAGGGAGAGCAGACTGAGGGAGTAGAGCTTTTGCAGGTAGTGACCCTCTAGAAACATAGGAGCACAATGCAGTTATCTTTAAGGTAGAAGCAGGGTCTAGCCCAGGACACAAAAGACCAGGCCCAACTCACCTTTGACCCTGGCATCCCTATTGAAGCGCCACTGAGGCACAAAGACAGTTATGTCCCGGTGGCCACGATCCCAGAAATACTGCACAGCAATGGCAATGCCCCGGCTGGAGAAGTTGTGCTGGAGGCCATGCCTGCAGTGGGAAGGGGTCGGCACTCTGGGGCCCCAGATGAGGGCCTAGCAGCCTGGCTGGAGTGCTCTCCCCTCAGCACATTTCCCCCAGGAGAAAACTGCCCATCTCCTCCCCCTCCCCAGAACCCCCAGTCCCACCTGGTACTCACACCATGGCCACGTTGCTGCCATCAATGACAATATGGCGGAGGTCTGGCTGGCCAGGTACATTGGCAAGGCACAGGGTAAAAGGGTCCTGTAGGGCCTCCTGGAAACGCTGTGTGCCAGTCACCAAGTTGCCCCCCCGGGTGCCTCGTTTCCACGGAGACCCCCGACCACGAACCACAACCTGCTGCTTGTCTCCCCTGTCTCCGCGGTCTCCACAATGCCATGGGGGTTCAGGTGCAGGTGGGGGGCTAGGCACTCTGGGAGGTGAGGCTTCCCCGTTGTGGAGCCGCTGGAGGAGAGAGGCTCCCCGGAGCTGAGCTGCCCTCTGACAGCCCTGGGCACCAGGAGGCTCACCCTGGATACAAAACCTTCCTCCTCTTTCCTGAGGCCCCCCCTCCTTCCCCGGGGCCTTCTTCTTCAGGAACCCTTCCTGCCCTACCTCTCCTCCCCCTGACTGTGACCTGTAGGCCACTTCTTTCTCCCAGGCCTCTTCCCCAGGCCGCTCCTTCAATCCCAAATCCATCTCCCTGGGGCCACCCTGCTTCCCTCCCTCCTTCTCTATAGCATGTCTCTCTCCCCTTGACTCTGGCCACCCTGTAGGTCCAGTGTCCAGGGACCCCCTGCCTTCATTCAGGGGCACTCTGACTCCTTGATGCTGATCACCCAGCAGGCCTGGGCTCCCCCCCTCCCAGGAGAAATGCGCTTGGGGCCCTTGTCCCCTGGATGCCTCCTGTACCAGGCTCAGCAGTTCCTCCTGGACAGCCAGGGGCAGCTGCAGCAGGGCCTCTCTGTGGGCATCCCCCTGGGGCTGCAGCAGGGCACCGAAGTCCCTCAGCACTCCAGCACACTGAAAGGCTCCAGGAGGCAGCCCTGGCCGAAAGTCCCAGCTCAGCCGCTCCACCAGCTCCTCCACTCGGCTCTGAGCCATGACGAAGGCCTCCGTGAGGCCACTGGCCATCAGCGATCCAGGCGCCCCAGGCACCAGGTGGGCTGATGTGCTCCAGACCAGGCAATCGAGGAAGAAGCCCTGGGCCCCCAGGAAGATGCAGTGCAGTTTGGGTGGATAGTGGATTTCATCCTGCAGCTCTGGGCTACAGAGACCCTTCAGGTACTCCTGGGGAAAGGGGGAAAGGAGGGGGAAAGGAGACTGCTGGAATCCTAAGTGGCCCAGTAGCCACTTCAGGCTCACTGCTCTCCCCTGAGCTCCAGGATGCCTGGGCAGAGCAATGATGCCTCACAGATCCTGACAAAGGTAGGGGCTAAAAAGGGGTCAAGAATCTCACTTCCTTTCCTTTCCAGCTGACAGCTATAGCTAGTATTTCCATTTAGAACTTGATTGGCTTTAAGATACAATTATAACTAATTGATTGTCTCTCTATTTATGTGTGTATGTGTGTTGTCTATTTCTATCATAATGATCGCCACTGCTAACTTTACTAAACTCATGCTTTATTTCACTCATGCTAAGCCCAATGAACTGGGTACTGCCATTATTCACATTTTATAGATATAGAAACTGAAACTCAGGTCAGGGGGCCGGTAGGCAGTAGAGCTGTACTGGAACCCAGGCCTGGCCTCCTGCAGTGAATTCCTTGGTGGGGCCTGCTCGCCCAACCGGATTTTCTCTACTGTTCTCCCGAAGAACACACACTGATCTGAATCACTTGTCTCCAAGCCCTGGCAGAAGTTAGGTCATCATATCAGAAACGAAATCAAAACTCCATACAAATACAAAGTTGGGGAGTCTCCCACAGCTCAGGGCCACTGAGGTTGCCAGAGAGACGAGCAGTAGTGAAGACCATTCCCGGCCTCTCCTCTCCCCAGCCTCTGCGTGGGGGAGGGAGGGGCTGCTCCCCGAAGGGTCAGGGCGGAGCGTTCACCTTGGCTCTGCTGACGTTCTCCTTGGGGCCCTCCAGCTGCAGCCAGATGTGAGGGTTCTCGGGGCAGTCCTTCCGGAGGACGCTCATCCTCACGCGGAAGATGCGCTCCACGTGGGGTTGCTGCTCCCACACTTTGTCCTCCGCCTCCGCAGACACTGCAAAGCGGTCCGGGGACGGGGAGCCGGCCCCCCAGGTCGGCATGGCTGCTTGGCGGCCCAGACCTGGAAGCAGGAAAGGCAGCTCAGAGCCTCGCCGTCCCCTCAGCCCACATCTCGGTCTCCCGGGCGACCTCGGCCACCAACAGGTCGCACCGAGTTACAAACAGAGTAAACAACCCAGGAGACCTCGGGCCATCTTGGAGGGAGGGGGAGAATGTCAGGTTAAGGCAGCCCGGGCCTTCTCGCCAAAGCGGGCGTCATGCATAAACAAGGCTGTCTCTCTGGGACGGGCGTCTGGCCTTTGTAAAAGGACGACCACAGCCCCGAGCAGGACCGGGGACCGGGGCGGGGGAGGAGGGGCCCCGGCTCCGCCTGGGGCCAGAGGAGTGGGCGGTGAGAAAGAGTCCCTCTTCTCGGGGACTCTGCCACCCCCGGGCCGAAGACGTCCCCTCACAACGGGTCCTCACCAGGGCCGGCACCGGGCTGTCCTCCCGCGTCCCTCGTCTTCTATTTGCCAGGTTCCAGCCACTCTCACGCACCCCTCCCCCTGCCGCCCCCCGCCACC